GAGTGACCTTAGGTGACCTTAATGGAAGAATACACTTGGCATACATTCCCTCCAAGGAAAACCACTTCCCCTGCTATAATGAGGCTGGATTCAAGGATGTCTACTGTTAGAAAAAGGGTAAATCCTTGGTTCCAGATAACTTCTACATAACCTTAATATTCCGCCCTCTCAATCAAGCAAACTCAAATAAAAACCTTTAATTCTCATTTTGGATGCCACCTGAAAAACAAAAGGCCAATATCTGAAAATCTGTCAATTAAATGTTGCCGTATGGGAGAGTCGGCTCTGCTCTGTCCTCTTCAAGAATTCTGTATTTATTTCTTCTTCTCCTCCTCCTCATGCTGATGGATTTTTTTTCAGTTGACCTTGTCGTGTAATTACTGAGTGTGCTTGTTCCTCATTTGCTGTTCTTCTCCTTTTCCTCTTCTTTAAGGTTAATGTTTCTGAAGTGAATTCTTTTGCAAATGTCAGTTTTTCTGTGTCTGGTGATATATCTCTCTTTTGCCTTTGGCCAGTGCCATGATGGATACAAAAAGATTGGCACTCAGAATGAGTTTGTTATTGGTGTATTTACTTAATTTCCAATTACATTTTTATTTGTTTTTTTTCTCTAGACCAGTGTTTTTCACCCTTGTCAATTTTAAGATGTGTGGACTTCAACTCCCAGAATGCCTCAACTAGCACATACAGACTTCATCCAGTTAAAGTCCACACATCTGAAAGTTGCCAAGGTTGAGTGATGCTACATTAGACAATTAAGGTAGCCTCCATGGCAATGGTGGGGGAGGGAACAACCCTGTGAGATAGGTTGGGCTCGGAGAGAATGTCTACTCCAAAGTCACCAAACAAGGATCTGAACTTGGATCCCCCAATCCTGTTTCAACACTGTTGTGTCCTGAGCCTGCAGAAGCAGGCTCGAGACGATGCAAGAGTCCCGGGCATTTGCAAAAGCTGCCCGGGACCAGACTGAGCGGCGCCGGCCTTGCGCGCATGCACAAGGCGGGAAAAGACTGCCTGCTATTGACTTCCGGTTTGAGTTCCTGTGCCGATGGCGGCTTTTTCTTTCGCCGCCTGCCCCAAGGACGCGTAAAAGCCGCAGGAGCAGCGTCAAACAGCTGCTCCGCGGCTTGAATCCCCTTCCCCGGGCAAAGGGGAGGGGGGAGAGTCTCTCTGATAGGGGTAGAACTCCTGAGCTCCCACAGTTTTACAGCTGTGGGGGTGGAGGTGAGTTCCCCCGGAGTCAGGGACTTTTCTCCACGCTTTGGGCTGCCTCCGTTCCAAGAACGAAGCCAGACACGGACTCATCCTCTGCTTAAAGGAGATCGTGAGTAGATTTTGGAGCAGACAGAGTGATCCAGGTGCTTGAGAGAGGCATGATAAGAGCCTTCAGCTCTGACTTTAATAACTTCTCCATCAAGATTAAAGTTTAAGAAGGAGAAAAAAAAAAAGAGGAAAAATGGCCGCGGAAGGGCGTTTTGCTCTTTAATAGAGACTTTCACTTATGGAGGACTTTCACTTTGGCTTTCACTTTCTGCTGGATTATCATTGTTATAGAGTTACTGGACTGTAGGTGAACAAAATATCTGTTTTTGCTTTTTTCTTTTGTGGCAGTTTTAAAAAAGAAGAACTTTATGGGACATTGTATTATACAAATTAAATTTGAGAAGAAGGGTGTGAAAGTAAAATGGCTTCAAAGCGGGGGGGAAATTTTCCTCCTCCTCAGAAAGGCTTGAGCTCTTCTTCTCCAGCTATGCAGATATCACAGCAAACAAAACCTACTCCTCCACCCTCTCCTCCATTGCCAGCTTTAACACTGAAAGATTTACAAGATGCTTTAAAAGACACTGTTAAACAGTTTGAAAAGAAACTTGAGGAGAAACTTGAGGAAAAACTGGAAGAAAAAAATGTTGAGTTGAGAGATGATATAGTGTTTGCATTGCAAGCCTTGGCTG